CACATAATAAATACGAAAATCTAAAAGCATTTATGTGTGCTATCTGTATCTTTAAACAGACCGGTTGGTCAAATTGGTGTATGTTCTGCCGGGTCGACATGTTGCTTAATAGAATATGGTCCAGAAATAAAAGGTTAGTATTCAATAATATGTTCATTTAAGGATAGATAATACGTGCATACACTTCAATGAAAAAAGCGACAAAACATCAAAGAATATTCCAAGTACTACATTGTACTCGAGCAGCAAGTAAAGTTATAAATGCATTAGAATACTTAGGTTTTAAAATGAAATGTTTGTATTTTATGATAACAAATCAATCATAACGTAAACGGTACAACAAAATCATTTTAAATTGTCATCTTCAAATAAAGTTGTGTGGGTATATCACAAATTACTGTAAAAATCCTTGATATGAAATACAAGTATGAACTATGTCAGACCTCAGCATTTACAGAAAATTTGATTTTTATCGTCAATTTACATTCTACTCCAAGATCTTAGATTTACTGTTTTGAATTTATATCTGAACTTTAGATTTTCTACTCTTCATACTTCTAATTCCCATTGAAAGATCGAATGTATACATGTCTTATTAAACTACTTTTTTCTACAACAACGGGAATCGTAGATACGAAATATCTGTTTTATGTCATGAACAATTCTTACTTTGTATAGGACTCCAAAAATAAATACACCGAAGATGATATAATCAAAACGCTATACTTTTTGATCAACACCATGTTTGTTAGGTTTGGTGGATTGATATTTCAAAGAGACAGTCGGTATTGCAATGGTTATTGGTTTGGTGGATTGATATTTCAAAGAGACAGTCGGTATTGCAATGGTTATAGGTTTGGTGGATTGATATTTCAAAGAGACAGTCGGTGTTGCCATGGTTATTGGTTTGGTGGATTGATAAGAGACAGTCGGTGTTGCCATGGTTATTGGTTTGTTTTTGTACTCATATGAAGCAGAATGCATACAAAACATTCTTGAAGACGAACAAAAAAACTTGCAAAGTTTTCATATATATGGATGATGTCCTGTCACTCAATAACCCACATTATAAAGTGAGTGCTAACTTGAGATATAAGAAATAAGAAGCTCTGGTCTGCTTACCCTGTCGACGCACCATGTCCTTATGGAGCTCATGCGATTCCCTCATTTTTTTATCACTTGATATGTCTTCTTAATAGACTAATTAGATTTTAAAAGCGGTAAACAACTGTTGCCAAAATTTAAACATTTATTAAAACATATACAACATCTACCGAAACGAGCAGCTGATGCAGCAACCTATTTTTCTACTTAAGTTGAGCAGATGCCAATTGAAGCTGAAATTGATAAGAGAATCTTAGTTACATTCAGAAATATAATTAGAAATCCAGATGTAGTAAGATTAAACAAACACAAATCAATACAAGGACAGGAGTTCACAAAGTTGGTCCATATATGTGCAACAGCTCCTGGAGAAAGACGTTGAATATGTGGAACATTTTCTTATTCCCTCAAAAGAGTAAGTCTTTCGTTTTTGAAACTATTACAAGGAAAAATAGTTGAAGTGTTACAGGATGTAAATCTCACTGATGCTATTTCAAACCGACAAGATTACTCAAGGTTACTTGATTCTTGACTGTACAAGCGGTTCAGAGTAATTCTCCATCTAGATATGAAAAGTTTGGATTGGTGAAAAGAGGTCGGTGCTTTGCTCTACACACTAAGAGGAGTTACATCATTAAGAGAAGACATTGCAATAATTTGCTACATCAGTATACTAAAAATAAGGTGAAGTAGTATCATTGCCAATGAGACTATTCACGAGAGACAAAAAGATGAAGATGTAAACAACTATAGGTACGACCTTCAACAAAGAGCAAAATCCAACACCGTTTAGTTAGACATATAAAAGACAATGAGACAACTATCCAATGCTCTTCAACGTCGTACTTTATTTGGTCTATTTCGCTTTTTAGACTAGAGCGTCACTGATAAGTGTTTGTTTAGTAGATGAAACGCGCGTTTACCAACGTTTATTATGCAAATTATATAGGAACTATCTACACAAAGGTTCTAAAATATTACTGGTGCCATCAAAAGCATTTCTGTTTACATCTATGTCAACATAACAGAACGGGTACGTGATCAGTTGTAGAAGATCAACTGGTAGGGATGTAATATCTTTTGCTAGAACTTGACTTTCCATTCTTATATTTTTTTCTAGAGCAGTGGTTGTCTTCTAACTTTTCGCATTACAAAATAAAGTATTCAATTGATTTATATGCCCTATTACACCTTTACAACCTGAGCTGATGTATTTCTTTGAGAATGAAGCTGTATGGGCTTGTAGGACATAGTTTTGAGACGTACTGTAATTTTTCTGATATCTTTTAGGTTTGCACTGACCGAAATTGCTAAACATGCTAAAGGATGTAAAGATCCAATGTTATAGTTATGGAACATACATTTTTGGGTTGAATATCCTTTGGATTCATCAATAACTTGATTTCCAATAAGTATAAATTTTGGATTTAACTTACCTTTTCCATTGAATTTGAAATAGGGTTGTTCAAATGGCCATATAAGTCTGTAATGCCACATTTTAAACATATTTTCTTTATTTCAATATACCAACTATGACTGTTGTGAGATTTTTATCTGTAGCTGTCTTTCAGGTAGCCGCCATTCAACGGATTTAGGATCATTTTGTGTATAGACGTCATAAACAGTTTGAGAAAATTCAAATTAACTGCCGGAATTCTTCATCACAAAAACTTGCATGATTACATCTATGAAGTATGGGTCGAAATGGTTATCAAAGGTGTCCAAAAATGGCAAAATGCAATATTTCAATACCTGACCAGTGGGAAATCTAGTGACAAACTATTACCTCCCTTGTAAACACTGGAAACTTGATCTTCTCAGCAATGTTTGTCTCGTTTTATCAAGGACGCTATCAATGTTATAAATTCACGAAAACACGTTCTGGTGAATAGTAAAAATAAAAATAAGTTGAAGTAAAACAAAACTTCCATTTAATAATATCATTTCTCTCCTTAAATAGCAAACGATGAGTTCGGCAGGATATATAAGCTTGATGTAAAATTGGTTTAAATGTTGCTATGCGAATAAATTCCTGGAGTACCGCAACATCATTTTATTTTTCTACTGGGTGTATACCTCTCTAGAAAATGTCAATTATACGTACATGTATGCAGATAGTTCAGAGAAGTGCAGGTGGAAAATTCCAAAGGAATCGTTTGATATACAGCAAAGAAACTTTTGAAATTAAGTTACTTAGCATATTCAAACGGACCTTATCTTAATGTAAACATGTTTATGTTGTAATGCTATACCACTGTTTCAGGTAAGGGTGAAGGTTGGTGCCTGTTAAAACGTTTACACCCGCTGCATTTTTATGCACCTGTTCTAAGTCAGGAGCCTGTTGTTCAGTGGTTGTCGTTTGTTGGTGTGGTTCATAAGTGTTTCTCGTTTCTCGATTTTTATATAGATTAGACCGTTGGTTTTCCTGTTTGAATTGTTTTACCACTAGTCTTTTTGGGGCCCTTTTTAGCTTGCTGTTCGGTGTGAGCCAGGGACAGTCTACACTAACTGTTAGTCATGATAGACTGCCCTTGTGTGAGTCAAGGCTCCGTGTTGAACGCCGCACCTTTTTACACATTGTGACTTGGATGGATAGTTGTCTCTTCTTCTCTTCTTCTTCTTATGGTATCCAGTTATCCATCAGATTTTTGATGATTACTAACTGCTGCGCATGCGTAGGATAATAATAAATAAATATTTACAAAAGAATAGTGCCAAAAATAAACAAATACTAACATGATATGTGGTTAAAACTATATATTTAACTACTGGGTTTACTGTTCTATATTGTAGAGAACAGTAGGTGTCAACTGTTCTCTAAAAATATTTAGAGTGGGAGAAAGTACTACCTTTGGAGGTAGTACATTCCATTGTGTAATAGTAAACGGAAAAAATTAATATTTGTAAAAGTCTTTAAATGTAAGTAGGTGTCCGTAAGTTTGTGGATGAATTTGTCGGGTTCTATTGTCTGTTGGTATGAGTAATTCTGATGGTACAGCGACAATATGGTGAACAATTTTATAGAACATTATAAGTCTAGTTTTATGTCTGCGTTGTTGTAAGGTAGGCCAATTTAGAGTATTGAGCATGTCTGTAACGCTACTGGTGTTGTGATAACGATTACAGGCATACCTAGCAGCCCGACGTTGAACCATCTCTCAAGTTTATTGCATTGTTCAGCAGTATGAGGGTTCCAAACCGAACTAGCATATTCTAGTTTTGGTCGGACAAGTGCTAGGTACGCCTGAGACTTAATGTTTGTGATTGATGTTTTTAGATTTCTTTTTAGAAAGCCTAGGCTTTCTAAAAAGAAATATAGTCTCATTAGCATTCATACCACATCTTATTTATACCGAACGATAAGATAAGATAAAATAAGATGCGAATAGATCGAGAAGACTGCAAATAAATATCCAAAAATCGAGACGACCTTTTCTTAAAATTGCATAAAAAATAATAAAAATATTTTAACGGATATCATACTTTATACATATGTTTATCTTTAATTTTTAACCTCCACAGACAGACTTTTAAGTTGTTATATTCGCGAAAAGACAATATTTCTATATTGAATGTTCAAGTGACTGTAGTGGACCGGTGGACTCGAACACTTAGATGTGAAGAATATATATATTCTGGGAAATTGTAACATGGCCCGGGATGGTTACCTGTGTTATAGTAGTCTCAGTGTGTATATTTCTAAGTTGATAACACTGTTTAACAAATAATTTCTTTAAAATGTACGATTGTTGTTTATAAATAACTTTTTATCGCTATCGTTGTTTTATTGTTGATTTTCTATAGTTCTCAGTCGCTAGATTAATCATTTACCAACGTGACAAAAGCGGGTCTATTCGGTATTTTTCGGAAATTGTTCATAGTTGTACCGTCAATTTTGGCTATTTAGTATTAGACTGGGTCCCAGTTTTCATTTCCATCTGTACGTTGATTTATATGCATCTCTAAATCAGTTTATGTCAGAATCATCAGATGACTGTCTGTGCATTGTAATTTTTAATGAGATAAGTGAGGTATGTTATTTTATTCGTTCATCAACCCCATTTATTAAGTTAATATCACTGTTACTGTTAGTTGTGCTTTGAATATAGTTTTGCTTGATTTTTAGTGCTTAAAGGTTCATGTGCCATGATGTGGACCCTTTGCCGACTTTGGCTAAAATGGCTGCATAATTTTTCTACTCAAAATTTACACTTGAGTACAGACAAACCTGTGTATCTGGAAAAGTTTTAAGGCATAGCATGCCAAAAAGTAAAAAAAAAAGTAAAAAAAAACAGGATTTTGCAGTGCACTTTCCTCCATTCCTCCTAAAACAAACAATGCATTTAAATTTTATTTATCTAGGCCTAGGGCATGCTATAAAGCCTATATGCCTTAAAACTTTTTCAGATGCACAGGTTTGTCTGTACTCAGAGTAAATATTGAGGTGAAAGTGCAGCCATTTTACTACATGAACCTTAAATTTACTCTGGTGCTTAATTTTTAGTTGTGCTTTAATTTTAGTTATATCATGTATATGCCTCAAGTTTATCATGTTAAAATGTGCAACTATCCACCAAAGTTCAAATAAAGTGGATGTAAGCAATTAAAGGCAACCATACGGCCTTCAACAATGAGAAAACCCATACTGTATAGTTATATGTATATATATAAAAGGCCCAGACATGAAAAATATGAAACAATTCAATTGAGAAAACTACATGTAACTGCCTAACACATACCTGCCAACCCTCCCGTTTTGAGTGGGAGACTCCTGCTCAAATGACGAAATTCCGGAAATCTCTCGCTTGCGGTTCCCCTCCCGTGCGGTAGTATCAAATATCCCGCTTTTGGATATTTTACTTTTAATTGACCAGTCAACATTAATAACGTTTTTGTGTCACTGATGAAGGTATTTTTTACCTGTAAATTAAATGGCTTCACATGACAGCTTGGGTGTCAAACATAATACTAATTAACGATCATTAACAACTTTTACCAGTCAGGGATATATCTCTATAGGGTTATTACAGAAAAATAACATACATTTGTTATTGTGGACTAAAAAATCAAAGAACTATGATAACATATGTATGTTACATGTTTCAAAGGGACAATATACATCATTAGTTTAGTTAAAATGTATACAAGTTCTATTGATATTACTATTGTCTTTATGTATACTTAACTATAGAAAGATATACCAGTTCATAGTTTGCCAATTTTGCATAGTACACCTATGTTATTACAGAAAAAGTATGCCTGTAATAACTAAAGGGTGTTATCACAGCTTCTCTGTATCACTCCAAAGCATTTGCTCAGACATACATCATGCTTAATTACAATGTATTTTAATTCATTGTAAGAAATAATGACCAGAGCATGTAATGAGGGTCTGCGCAAGCTTCCCAGTAATTCCCAAGTGTCTCATTTAATAAGTTACATTCCTTTAATAACTAAGCCTTGTTATTACAGCTAAGTTTATCCCTTAAAAGCCTTGTCTCATTGATTCACCATGGTTAATCAAAAATGTATTAATTTAATTAAAAAATTAGTTATCAAGGCTATGCATTTAGTTTCTGCGCAAAGTCTGAAGAGTTCCCTAGAGCCCACTATAAATTAAAATATTTTTGATCTATTTTACAAATAACAAACATATGTTATTACAGATTTAGAAAATTTAAGGAATAAAGAGAAGACAACTCATGAAAGTATCTGTAATAACACACGCAAGTTATTTTCTGTAATAACCCTATAGAGTTATATCTCTGACTGTTTACCGCAAGATTTGTATATTTGAAAACACTTCAAAGAAATTTTGGGTTACTTCCCCTGTTTAATCCTGTTTTAAGTTACCCTGCTTAAAATAATGTAAATTGGTTAAAGAATATAAATTAAATACAAATTGAACAAAAAATCATAAAAGGATGGTAATTTAATGATTTTTAAGACCTTAGGACAAAAAATATATTTATATTTTGAAAATCATTTAATAGATCTATACTTCTATTCAATGTTTAAATTGAAATTTATAAGAGATGTATTTCACTATTGAGACTTTAAACCGACAGTGCAAGGGCTGTATAGCCAGTCAAGGTTGTTAAAAAACTTCCATTTGAGACTTTAAAGTGACTGTTCATACATATATTGCACCATTCGATACATTAAAGATGATCTTTTGAAACAGACATATCTCTGGGGTATGCTGGCCTGAAGGGACATAAATGTCAAAGACATTGAAAAAGTATATAAACAAACCAACACACCTTGTATAGGTTGTAAGCATTATTGAAGAAATAAAGTATATCTATTTACTCTTATTTGTGTTTTGTAAATAAATAAATAAACAGGTTATATTTTTCACTTGAAAATGTCGTTCGCGCAAAATCTCCCACTCAGCTGTCTTAGCTGAGGGGGAGATCTCCCCTCTTCGAAGTATCAGAGGTTGGCAGGTATGCTAACATGCCTAATTTATAACAAAACAATTTACGAAAAACAAATTTCAAGTTTATTCTCCTAAAAATGACATTGTTTTACTTTATTATTGTGTGACGTTCTCATGTATCATTTTGTATGAAGATAAATCCTGAGAGATTTGAAAATAAATTTTTCAAGGCATTGATCTGTACATGATTGACGATTAAAGCTAGTCCTAGATTACTATGACAGTCATTTTAACCTATGGGATTTGCTGGTCATATTAAAGAAGGGCATTAGTAGGTGAATAAAAGATACATTTACATATTTGTTGAGTAAAATTGTAGAATGTGCTATTTATATACTTGAAAATGGATATACTACAATTTTTAACCCTCTGTGGTCTTCCTAGTGCTGGCTTTTTCAAGGTCCTCCATGGGGTCATGAATAATGCAGTCGGTTGAACTCTTTAAAGAAGTCTTTTGTTCAAGCAACTTGTTGGTGTTGTAAACTTGTCTGTCCATTGCTATTGTCCATTGTTTGATTCATTTTTCAGTACAAACTTACCTTATCTTAGTGTCTCTCATCGAGGTCAATCATCAAGATATTTTTGAAATCTGCCAAAACATGCAATAGTTTTAGTTGCTTCATTGTTATTGAAAAGAATCTCAAACTAATTTTATTTTTTAAATTCTAAAACATCATCTTTTCATGTCTTTGTTGGATTCAAATTTTGTATCTTTAAAGTTCAAACTTTTTCATCGTCATGCACTTTTATCATGTTTATTTAAATTTTTAACACTTTGAAAACACTGGTGATTTATTAATAAATTTTTCAGAAAGTTTATCAAATTTTGAAAGTTCCACACAACATGTCTATTTTTTTGGTTCAATTGTAATGAAAATTTCACTGCTAAATCTACAACAGTTTGATTCATAGTCATTATAGTAATTAGTCCCCTACCGACGAAGTCGAAGGGGACTTTAGGTTTGCACTCTGTCTGTCTGTCTGTCTGTCTGTCCATCAGTCCGGCAAATCAGTTTTCCACTTTTTTTCTTCAAGCTTGAAGATATTGATTTGATATTTGGTGTATTGTTTTATCATGACAAGTTACAGATCAAGTTTGAATTTTGTTCTCGTCTGATGATTTTGTGCAGAGTTATGGTCCTTGGACTTAGAAAATTCACTCAAATGATCAGTTTTTCACACTTTTTTTTGTCATGCTTGAAGATATTGATTTGAAAATTGGTATATAGTTTTATCATGACAAGTTACAGATCAAATTCGAATTTTGTTCCGGTCTGATGATTTTGTGCAGAGTTATGGTCCTTGGGCTTAGAAAATTCACTTAAATAATCAATTTTTAACACTTTTTTTCGTCATGCTTGAAGATATTGACTTGATATTTGTTATATAGTTTACACCATGACAAGTTATAGATCAAGTTAGAATTTAGTTCCAATACAATGAATTTTTAAACTGTAGGGGACTATGTATTGCCATGCTACATGCATGGTATTATCCATAGCAACATACAGTTGAAAGGCCTGGTAATTATTAATAACAAAACTAATAGATTCACATTAATTTTCAAATATAAAAGGCAGTCATTCTCAATAAATATATCTTAATTGATTTTAAGAAATTTATTTCCATTTCAGAATTTGAATTGAAGATGGCCAAACCTCAATCTTGTGACACATTTGTTGCTCTTCCACCATCCACTGCTGATGGGTGTGTAATATTTGGAAAGAATTCAGATAGACCTGATGACGAAGTACAGGAAGTGGAATATTATCCTAGTAAGGAACACCAACCAGGATCTAAAGTTATGGTAGGTATTAAGAATGCTGAGACAGTTATGTGGTATATTGTCCTAGTCAGGAACACCAACCAGGATCTAAAGTTATGGTAGGTATTAAGAATGCTGATACAGTTATGTAAAGTATATTGTCCTAGTAAGGAACACCAAGCAGGATTTAAAGTTATGGTAGGTATTAAGAATGCTGAGACAGTTATGTGGTATATTGTCCTAGTCAGGAACACCAACCAGGATCTAAAGTTATGGTAGGTATTAAGAATGCTGAGACAGTTATGTAAAGTATATTGTCCTAGTCAGGAACACCAAGCAGGATCTAAAGTTATGGTAGGTATTAAGAATGCTGAGACAGTTATGTAAAGTATATTGTCCTAGTCAGGAACACCCACCAGGATCTAAAGTTATGGTAGGTATTAAGAATGCTGAGACAGTTATGTGGTATATTGTCCTAGTCAGGAACACCAACCAGGATCTAAAGCTATGGTAGGTATTAAGAATGCTGAGACAGTTATGTAGTATATTGTCCTAGTCAGGAACACCAACCAGGATCTAAAGTTATGGTAGGTATTAAGAATGTTGAGACAGTTATGTAAAGTATATTGTCCTAGTCAGGAACATCAAGCAGGATCTAAAGTTATGGTAGGTATTAAGAATGCTGAGACAGTTATGTAAAGTATATTGTCCTAGTCAGGAACACCAACCAGGATCTAAAGTTATGGTAGGTATTAAGAATGCTGAGACAGTTATGTGGTATATTGTCCTAGTCAGGAACATCAACCAGGATCTAAAGTTATGGTAGGTATTAAGAATGCTGAGACAGTTATGTGGTATATTGTCCTAGTCAGGAACACCAACCAGGATCTAAAGTTATGGTAGGTATTAAGAATGCTGAGACAGTTATGTAAAGTATATTGTCCTAGTCAGGAACACCAACCAGGATCTAAAGTTATGGTAGGTATTAAGAATGCTGAGACAGTTATGTAGTATATTGTCCTAGTCAGGAACACCAACCAGGATCTAAAGTTATGGTAGGTATTAAGAATGCTGAGACAGTTATGTAAAGTATATTGTCCTAGTCAGGAACACCAACCAGGATCTAAAGTTATGGTAGGTATTAAGAATGCTGAAACAGTTATGTGGTATATTGTCCTAGTCAGGAACACCAACCAGGATCTAAAGTTATGGTAGGTATTAAGAATGCTGAGACAGTTATATAAAGTATATTGTCCTAGTCAGGAACACCAACCAGGATCTAAAGCTATGGTAGGTATTAAGAATGCTGAGACAGTTATGTAGTATATTGTCCTAGTCAGGAACACCAACCAGGATCTAAAGTTATGGTAGGTATTAAGAATGCTGAGACAGTTATGTAAAGTATATTGTCCTAGTCAGGAACACCAAGCAGGATCTAAAGTTATGGTAGGTATTAAGAATGTTGAGACAGTTATGTAAAGTATATTGTCCTAGTCAGGAACACCAAGCAGGATCTAAAGTTATGGTAGGTATTAAGAATGCTGAGACAGTTATGTAGTATATTGTCCTAGTCAGGAACACCAACCAGGATCTAAAGTTATGGTAGGTATTAAGAATGCTGAGACAGTTATGTGGTATATTGTCCTAGTCAGGAACACCAACCAGGATCTAAAGTTATGGTAGGTATTAAGAATGCTGAGACAGTTATGTGGTATATTGTCCTAGTCAGGAACACCAACCAGGATCTAAAGTTATGGTAGGTATTAAGAATGTTGAGACAGTTATGTAAAGTATATTGTCCTAGTCAGGAACACCAACCAGGATCTAAAGTTATGGTAGGTATTAAGAATGCTGAGACAGTTATGTAAAGTATATTGTCCTAGTCAGGAACACCAACCAGGATCTAAAGTTATAATAGGTATTAAGAATGCTGAGACAATTATGTAAAGTATATTTTCCTAGTCAGGAACACCAACCAGGATCTAAAGTTATGGTAGGTATTAAGAATGCTGAGACAGTTATGTAAAGTATATTGTCCTAGTCAGGAACACCAACCCGGATCTAAAGTTATGGTAGGTATTTAGAATGCTGAGACAGTTATGTAGTATATTGTCCTAGTCAGGAACACCAACCAGGATCTAAAGTTATGGTAGGTATTTAGAATGCAGAGACAGTTATGTAGTATATTGTCCTAGTCAGGAACACCAACCAGGATCTAAAGTTATGGTAGGTATTAAGAATGCTGAGACAGTTATATAAAGTATATTGTCCTAGTCAGGAACACCAACCAGGATCTAAAGTTATGGTAGGTATATATTAAGAATGCTGAGACAGTTATGTAAAGTATATTGGTCTAGTCAGGAACACCAACCAGAATCTAAAGTTATGGTATATATTAAGAATGCTGAGACAGTTATGTAAAGTATATTGTCCTAGTCAGGAACACCAACCAGGATCTAAAGTTATGGTAGGTATTAAGAATGCTGAGACAGTTATGTGGTATATTGTCCTAGTCAGGAACACCAACCAAGATCTAAAGTTATGGTAGGTATTAAGAATGCTGAGACAGTTATGTAAAGTATATTGTCCTAGTCAGGAACACCAACCAGGATCTAAAGTTATGGTAGGTATTTAGAATGCTGAGACAGTTATGTAAAGTATATTGTCCTAGTCAGGAACACCAACCAGGATCTAAAGTTATGGTAGGTATTAAGAATGCTGAGACAGTTATGTAAAGTATATTGTCCTAGTCAGGAACACCAACCAGGATCTAAAGTTATGGTAGGTATTTAGAATGCTGAGACAGTTATGTAAAGTATATTGTCCTAGTCAGGAACACCCACCAGGATCTAAAGTTATGGTAGGTATTAAGAATGCTGAGACAGTTATGTAAAGTATATTGTCCTAGTCAGGAACACCAACCAGGATCTAAAGTTATGGTAGGTATTAAGAATGCTGAGACAGTTATGTAAAGTATATTGTCCTTGTCAGGAACACCAACCAGGATCTAAAGTTATGTTAGGTATTAAGAATGCTGAGACAGTTATGTAAAGTATATTGTCCTAGTCAGGAACACCAACCAGAATCTAAAGTTATGGTAGGTATTAAGAATGCTGAGACAGTTATGTAAAGTATATTGTCCTAGTCAGGAACACCAACCAGGATCTAAAGTTATGGTAGGTATTTAGAATGCTTAGACAGTTTTGTGGTATATTGTCCTAGTCGGGAACACCAACCAGGATCTAAAGTTATGGTAGGTATTAAGAATGCTGAGACAGTTATGTAAAGTATATTGTCCTAGTCAGGAACACCAACCAGGATCTAAAGTTATGTTAGGTATTAAGAATGCTGAGACAGTTATGTAAAGTATATTGTCCTAGTCAGGAACACCAACCAGAATCTAAAGTTATGGTAGGTATTAAGAATGCTGAGACAGTTATGTAAAGTATATTGTCCTAGTCAGGAACACCAACCAGGATCTAAAGTTATGGTAGGTATTTAGAATGCTTAGACAGTTTTGTGGTATATTGTCCTAGTCGGGAACACCAACCAGGATCTAAAGTTATGGTAGGTATTAAGAATGCTGAGACAGTTATGTAAAGTATATTGTCCTAGTCAGGAACACCAACCAGGATCTAAAGTTATGGTAGGTATTAAGAATGCTTAGACAGTTATATAAAGTATATTGTCCTAGTCAGGAACACCCACCAGGATCTAAAGTTATGGTAGGTATTTAGAATGCTGAGACAGTTATGTAAAGTATATTGTCCTAGTCAGGAACACCAACCAGAATCTAAAGTTATGGTAGGTATTTAGAATGCTGAGACAGTTATGTAAAGTATATTGTCCTAGTCAGGAACACAAACCAGAATCTAAAGTTATGGTAGGTATTAAGAATGCTGAGACAGTTATGTAAAGTATATTGTCCTAGTCAGGAACACCAACCAGGATCTAAAGTTATGGTAGGTATTAAGAATGCTGAGACAGTTATGTAAAGTATATTGTCCTTGTCAGGAACACCAACCAGGATCTAAAGTTATGGTAGGTATTAAGAATGCTGAGACAGTTATATAAAGTATATTGTCCTAGTCAGGAACACCAACCAGGATCTAAAGTTATGGTAGGTATTAAGAATGCTGAGACAGTTATATAAAGTATATTGTCCTAGTCAGGAACACCAACCAGGATCTAAAGTTATGGTAGGTATTAAGAATGCTGAGACAGTTTTGTGGTATATTGTCCTAGTCGGGAACACCAACCAAGATCTAAAGTTATGGTAGGTATTAAGAATGCTGAGACAGTTATGTGGTATATTGTCCTAGTCAGGAACACCAACCAGGATCTAAAGTTATGGTAGGTATTAAGAATGCTGAGACAGTTATGTGGTATATTGTCCTAGTCAGGAACACCAACCAGGATCTAAAGTTATGGTAGGTATTAAGAATGCTGAGACAATTATGTAAAGTATATTGTCCTAGTCAGGAACACCAACCAGGATCTAAAGTTATGGTAGGTATTAAGAATGCTGAGACAATTATGTAAAGTATATTGTCCTAGTCAGGAACACCAACCAGGATCTAAAGTTATGGTATATATTAAGAATGCTGAGACAGTTATGTAAAGTATATTGTCCTAATCAGAAACACCAACCAGGATCTAAAGTTATGGTAGGTATTAAGAATGCTGAGACAGTTATGTAAAGTATATTGTCCTCGTCAGGAACACCAACCAGGATATAAAGTTATGGTAGGTATTAAGAATGCTGAGACAGTTATGTAAAGTATATTGTCCTCGTCAGGAACACCAACCAGGATATAAAGTTATGGTAGGTATTAAGAATGCTGAGACAGTTATGTAAAGTATATTGTCCTAGTAAGGAACATCAACCAGGATCTAAAGTTATGGTAGGTATTTAGAATGCTGAGACAGTTATGTAAAGTATATTGTCCTAGTCAGGAACACCAACCAGGATCTAAAGTTATGGTATATATTAAGAATGCTGAGACAGTTATGTAAAGTATATTGTCCTAGTCAGGAACACC